GACTCATGGTACTCCACTGCCCCTAGCCACTCCCCTGTCTTGACTTTCCTCCCAACCCTGGCTTCTTTTCCTAGTTTTGTCTAGCTTGGACCATCTTTTCCATCCTATGCTTCCTACTTATCCATCCCAAGCCCAGTCTCCTTGTCCAGTTGGAATCTATATCTCCTCTGCGCTCACTTGAAGAGTCTCCATTTCTTCCCTCCTTGGCTGAGCCACAGCTCTCCCCTCCGCCCCACATCCCAGGTGCCTCATCCTAGGATCTTTTCCTAGAAAGCCCCACTCTTCCTCACAAGACCATCCAGTCTTGGCCTTGATTTCCTTGCTTAGCTTAGAATCATAGAATCATAGAAAATTAGGGTTTGAAGGGACCTCAGGACAGCATCAAGTCTAAATCCCTACTCAAAGCAAGAGCATCCCCAATTATTTCATCCTAGCCAAGGCTTTGTCTACTTGGGGTGTAAAACCCTCTGAGGATGGAGATTCCACAACCTCTCTGGGTAGCCTGTTCCAGTGCTTTACTGCCCTTCTAGTGAGAAAGTTTTTCCTAATATCCAGCCTAAACTTCCCATGTTGCAACTTAGTACCATTGCTCCTTGTCCTATTATCTGCCACCACTGAGAACAGTCTAGTGCCATCCTCTTTGAAACTACCCTTTGAAACCACCCTTCAGGTAATTGAAGGCTGCTATCAAATCCCTCCTCAGTCTTCTCTTCTCCAGACTAAGTAAGCCCAGTTCCCTCAGCCTGTCCTCAGAAGTCATGCACCCCAGTCCCCTAACCATTTTCATTGCCCTCTGCTGGACTCTTTCCAATTTGTCCACATCCTTTCTGTAGTCGGGGCCCAAAACCGGACACAGTACTCTAAACATGGCCTCACCAGTGCAGAATAGAGGTGAAGAATCAATTCCCTCAGTTTGCTGGCAATACTTCTATTACGGCAGCCCAATATGCCGTTAGCCTTCTTTACAAGAAGGGCACACTGTTGGCTTGAATTCAGCTTATTGTCCACTAACCCCCAGGCCCCTTTCTGCAGAGCTGCTGCTTAGCCAGTCAATCTCCACTCTGTACCAGTGCATGGGACTGTTCTGTGCAATGTGCAGGACTTCGCATGTTTCCTTATTGAACTCCATGAGATTTCTTTTGGTCCAATCCTCGAATTTGTCTAGGTCTCTCTGAATCCTAGCCCTACCCTCCAGTATATCTACTACACCTCACAGCTTGGTGTTACCTGCAAACTTGCTAAGGATGCACTCCATCCCATGTTCCAGATCATTGATAAAGATATTGAACAAAACTGGCCCCAGAACTGACCCCTGGGGCACTCCCACTGAACACTGGCTGCCAACTAGACATCAAACCATTGATTAGTACCTTTGATCAACAATGCAGGCAGTTTTCTATCCAGCTTACAGTGCATTCATCCAACCTGTACTCCCTTAGCTTGCTTGTTAGAATGTTGTTGGAAACCATATCAAAAGCCTCACTAAAGTCAAGGTATATCACATCCACTTCTCTCCTTACATCCACAGAGCCAGTTATCTTATCATAGAGGGCAATCAGGTTGGTCAGCCATGACTTGCCCTTGGTGAATCCATGCTGCCTGTCCCTAACCACCTTCTCCAAGTGCTTGGAAATAGAAACGAAGCCTGTTTCTTTCTCCCACCAGTCCCTATCCCTCTGCTCACACTACCATCACCCACTCTGCATTTCCAACTCTTGTTATCAGTACCATTAAGGCAGGTTGCTTTCACCATTATGCTTCCAGTTGGGGGAACATGGGGAACACAGGAGAGAGGCTGTTGCCTTCCTTTGTAAAGTGCGTTGAGATCTACTGATGACAAGAGCAAGGCAGGAAGATGACAAATCCCCAGCAGCAAACAGGAGCAGTTACATGGAAAATCTCACTTGGCTCCTGTAGCTTGGGGACAGAGCATGCCAACTTCACAGAGACTCTTTGGCAAAAGTGCCTGTCCAATGTGAACATGTCTCCTGTGATCATGTGCAACATGAACATTTTCAAAAGCTTCTCTCTCAACCGATTCTGGCTTGTTTGAAAAGGTGACCTACTGCGCCGCCCAATTTCATGTCCTTGCTACAAACGAAAGAAGTGCTACAGCATCTCAACCAAACACTTGTAAAAGTTATTTAAGCACAGAAAAAACAACATATATTTCCTTGAATCTCTTTCTTGAACGCAGTCCAGCAAAAAGCAACCAAAAATGATTAGCGATCTTAGCAACAGGATATGACCTTTTAGGAAAGATTGGAAAAACTGTGATTGTTTAGCATGTGGCAGAGAAGATCGAAAGGGGATTTGATAAAAGTCCCTGAGAACAGGATCTTGTAATGGGAAACATCATGTAACCTTACTAACAGGTTCTGCTACCATTTCTGAGATGTTATAAACACCCCAACCAGGCTCAGAGTACTGCTGTACTAGGTGCCCTATGAATACATGGTAAAAAGACAGTCCTTGCTGCAAAGAGCTTGCCATTGAAACAGATGAGGCAGACCAAGCCAAGAAGACAACACAATTCCCGAGGGGTGAGGGAAGTCACAGACTCCCAATTGCCTACTCTACCCAGTAGATGACACTACTTCTCAGCTTCAAGCACTGGAGTAGGTCCTATAACTAGGGATCAACTAAAATCATGATTTCATGATTTTCATGGAAACCACAATTTTAGGCAGGCCCCACAAAAAAGCATCGGCTCCCTGAAAATAAAAAATAAAAACTTACTGAAAAGAAAATGCTGGTTCCTTCTAGGGAGTCAGCAGTCCTTGTGGCTGCTATGGCCCAGCTGTACAGCCTGTTGGGGGGAAGGGGAGGGAAGGGAGAAGGGGGGCTTCCAGCACAGCAAGATGACTGCCGCCCCTGCCCCTCACTGCAAGGAATGTCCATCATGTGGCCCTGTGCCTTGCCACCAATTGTGAGGAGGGGTGGGGCTTCATGATGGACAGTCCTCACTGCCAATTAGTAATGAGGGGCAGGGCCACCAGGGCCTCTCGGTGAATCAGAGGCATGGGGGCCCCCCCACTACGCTCTGCCCATGACAATGACTGCCAGCTCTGTGGTCTGTCTGGGAAACTGGCTGGCAGCCGCCTCAATTTTGGTAGACCCTACCTATAAGCATTGGACTGTTGTGCACACTTATGAATCACAGGACAGGGGAGCTAAGCAGCCTGGAAGCTGGGGTATACAAAACAAGGGAAAGATGGATGCTGGATAAATCTAATCACCCCATAAGTCCAATCATCTGGGGTATTCTGAATTGAGTGATAAAGTTGCTGGAATCTTTTGTACCCCCTTGTCTGATAATATCACTGCTGTTAAACCTTAAAGCTTTCAAATCTTCCAAAATAAAGGAGGAGAAAGCAGAATGACATTTGGAAAACTCAAGTAGTGCAGTCAAGCCTAATGAAATTCTGAAATAGTTTATTTCCCTTTCCTCAGTGCTGATGGACGGTTTGAAGGCTCCCTGATGACCAAAGTCATTGTGAAATTCAATGGGGTAGTTACCTGGACTCCACCAGCCAGTTACAAGAGTTCCTGCACTATGGACGTTACATTTTTCCCATTTGATAGACAGAATTGCTCCATGAAATTTGGATCTTGGACATATGATGGCAGCATGGTGGACTTGATCCTTATAGATGAAAATGTAGACAGAAAAGACTTCTTTGATAATGGAGAGTGGGAAATCCTAAATGCCAAAGGCATGAAAGGCAACAGGAAGGACGGGTTATATTCTTACCCATTCATCGCTTATTCCTTTGTTTTAAGACGCCTCCCCCTGTTTTATACTCTTTTCCTAATCGTCCCATGCCTTGGATTATCTTTTCTAACTGTGCTAGTGTTTTATTTACCTTCTGATGAAGGAGAAAAACTTTCATTGTCTACATCGGTTTTAGTCTCGCTTACTGTTTTTCTTTTAGTGATTGAAGAAATAATCCCGTCTTCTTCCAAAGTTATCCCTCTGATTGGTGAATATCTATTATTCATTATGATTTTTGTAACCCTTTCCATTATTGTGACGGTTTTTGTTATTAATGTGCACCACCGGTCCTCAGCAACGTACCATCCAATGGCTCCCTGGGTTAAGAGACTCTTTCTTCAGAAACTGCCTAGGCTGTTGTGCATGAAGGGACATGTAGACCGCTATTCCCTCTCTGATGCTACAGAAACTGCCCCAGTGCTAAAAACAAAGTTCTCAGGAAAACACAAGCACAAACAAATAAAGGATGGAGAAAAAATTGTGATTGCTTTTTTGGAAAAGGCTACTGATTCCATCAAGTATATCTCTCGACATGTTAAGAAGGAGCATTTCATCAGACAGGTATGTGAACATGTAAAGGGCGTGTGATTGTTCTAGCAGAAGAACATGAATACTTGTTTCCATCTGTACTATATTTAGTACATGCCTTTCTCTAACACATACAGGTAGGTTTTGTAGTAACTTAAAGGCTTCCCCCTTGTCTTACACTAGTGCGTGATAGATTCAAATAAAGTATATTTTCCTCTCCAAACTTCCTTCCATGCTTTACACTCCTACCCACCTGTCTGTTTTACATTTTTTTAAAAAAGTAAGTACCAGTTATGGTGCTCAAAATCTGAACTGATACAAAGATAACATTTTATGATGCTTACAGACAAATTATGAAAAAGGAATGAGGGATTTTATTGGCACCATGCTAACAAAGGAGTGCTGTTTGTCACAATTACTTTAGTAACAAATAATTAATTTTAATTAATCAATAAATACTAGAAATAAAAGGCATTAACTTATTTTTCTTCTGCTACTTCTTTTTTTCCAGGTAGTCCAAGACTGGAAATTTGTAGCTCAAGTCCTTGATCGGATCTTCCTGTGGCTATTTTTGGTGGTATCAGTGACAGGTTCTGTTCTAATCTTTACCCCTGCTTTGCAGATGTGGTTGAACAGCAGTTTGTAGAAAAAAAAAAATCAAGGATTGCTGTAGGCCATGTTTTAAACACAGTTTCCCTTCAGACCTCCATTCAGAAGTGCAGAGCAAACGAAGGAGGTAGTGAGAATACTTCACCTCCTGGTCTCAGTAAATGATGTTAAGGCTGATTATGTCAATGGAACTTGTCATTCAAACAGGGCTTCACATCCTTAAGTTGCTGTAGAGTTTGAGGGCTCTATTGTGTTAACCTGAGGATGGTGGGGATTTACTCACCCATTGAAATCCATGAGACTACACGGTGTGCAAAGCTTCACCAATCAGTTCACAATTAATTAATCCCATTAAGCCTGATTATATCAAAATATGATTATCTGAGTTTTTAAATAAGACTCTTTCTTTTGGATGCAAATATTCTATTAAAATGTGGAATCCTCATGTATTTAATGTGTTACATTCAAAGAGAAGTTAAATAGTATATTAATATTATATAGGTGCAGATACACTGAGCTATCCAGTATACTTTATCTTTAAGTGTAATAAGCATACGCATTTTCTAACCTATCTATGTTGTGTAAGTAGCAGTTGCATAGCATGTGTTTGTGCATAACAGAAATATAAACACAAGTGAGGCTTTTAAAAGTGCTTAGTTTTGGCTTCACTCAATTTTTACTGAAGTCAACACAATGTGCATCTTAGCTGGTCTGTAGGAATAAAAACTTTCTCTACTTTCAGAGGGGAGATGGGGCACATTTCAACTGCAGCCAGGCTATCTGCACATACTGCTCTCTGTTTCCCCCATTGGTAAATCAGGAAAAACAGTAGGCTTGCCTGGCTAGCTGGAATAATTTGTATATATGTTAAATGCTCCAACAGGTGCCCAAAGTTATACTACCTTAAGTTTTCACTACACTGTCTTTACAAATTATGATACATCTTCTGTGTAATTGCAGGTACATGGAAAGGGACAAATGGGAAAAAATGCGGTGGCCATCTGAAGGGAAAGTGAGTCCATCCTAGCCTGTCATAGATCGAGATTGGGTAGCTATACCCAAGATGAACGGAAATAAATTCTGGGACCTTTTTTTTCTAGGCTTCTAGTGCAACAACAACTCTAGTCAAACATCCTAATCAACATGGAATAGTTGTTAGGAACTAGTACAGGGGTGGGCAAAATAAAGCCTGCAGGTTGGATCTGGCCCACCGGGCCATTCTATCCAGCCAGCAGGGCCCCTAAAAAGAATTAGAAAATAAATATTTATCTGCTCCTGGCTGCCTGTCAAAGATGACAGGAGCCAGGGTCAGTATGACCCAGAGGGAGCCATCAGCAGGACCCAGCAGCAAGGCCTGCCTACCCCTGCCCCCCAACCAGAAGCCCCTACATAGCAGAGGCTTCTGGTCTGGGACCGTGGGGCTGTTTCTGCCTCCCTGCATGGGGGAGGTCCTCTAGCAGCTGATCGCCCAGAACAGGGCAGTAGGAGCACAGGGGGTGGGTGGGCAGGGGTCTATGGAGCTGGGCTGGACTGCACCAGCAGGGAGAGAGGGGAGCTGGCCCCTGCCAGCCAGGACCCCGCACTCCTGCTGCCCCACTCTGGGCCCCGCTGGCACTGGTCCTGGGACACCAGAGTGGGCCACTCCCACCTAGCTGTCACTGTGCTCCCATGCTTCCACTCACTCCCACTCCCCCCCTTTTGCCACTGCTTTCAGGACTTCCCTGCCCACCCGCTGGCTGCTTCTGCACCATGTGGTTCCTGGCTGCATGTCCAGACCATGGGAGCCCGGGGCCTGTGCAGGTACCCTGGGTCCAGGAGTGGGAGGGGTGGGTGTGTGTGCAGGGAGGGAAGGACAGAGTGTGTGTGTGTGTGTGTGTGTGTGTGTGTGTGT